TTCAGATAGGTTTGTGCACGGTCAGGTGTACAGAGGGCGGTGTGGGGAAGAAGAAAAAAAAAAGAAAGAAAGAGGCAGGCACAACATGTAAATCAAGTTTTTCCACTCCGAGCCTCAGGTAGTCAAGAGAGCAGCCTGGCAGGCAGGCCAGCCGCTCTGCGTTTACAAACACCCAGGCTCCTTCCTCCCCACGTCGCTCTCACTTTATAGTCCAGTTTCCGCTTTTCCTCATGCTAAGGTTTCATAGGAAGTGAAAACCTTGCTATTCAAAACAGTGATCGAATGCAAAACACCAAAATGATTGCGTGTTCCCATCCCCAATACTTCTCCATTTTAAAATCCAGATATGCCTGGCCTGTCTAAGTCGGCGTGGAAAACACGGACAATCAGCATCGTCGTGGAAAAGTTCATAGTCAGGCTGGAGAGGTTTGCTAAAGGGGAGCGGATGATGACAGTGACAAAGATGATGATGACAAAGAATGAATGAATGAATGAATGAGCGAATGAACCCGCTCTGAGCAGGAGGAGAAAATGAAAAGCAGCTGCATCCTCTTCAGGAGGTAACAGCTGGGACTCAGCCTGGGTCTGTCCCCCTCCTATCCCAAGACCTCCACATTGTTGCTCAGTTTCCTCCTTTGCCCTCCACCTTCCCACACTCTCTTAACCCTGCACTCTTAAAAACGCACAAGTCTTCTCTGGTGTCTAAGGGTTAATATTCAGCAGGGCTCATCCAGGTTGGTCTTTTTGTTTGGTGCTGTTTAGTTTGTTTCTCTAAGATGAGTCCTCATGTAGCCCAGGCTGACTTCCAACTGGCTACGCAGCCTTGAACAGCTAATTCTTTCCCCTCCACCTTCCCGAGGACTGGGGTTACAGATTTAGCTTGGCTTGTTTACAGCAGTTTTAAGTGAGGGAAGGGTCTGACATCAATAAAGAGGCAAACTTTAGCAGGTGGTGGTGGTGCACATTTTTAATCCAGCACTTAGGAGGCAGAGGTAGCAGGATCTCAGGGAGTTCAAGGCCCACCTGCTCTCTAAGAGCTAGTTCCAGGATAGGTTCCGAAGCTTGACAAACCCTGTCTCAGGAAAAAATAAAAAGAAGAAGAAGAAGAAAAAGAGGCACACTTTAACAAACATCTCCCCAGACTCTTCAAAAGTCATGTTCCAGAGCCCAGGCCACACACATAACCAAACCCAAATGGTCAAACAAGCTCCCATAAGCATGGTCGGGGGTTGGTTCTCAGAACCAGCTACAATTTATGTGAAGCCTAATGCCGTCTTACTTTCCTCCATTCTGCAAGAAACAGGATGCACAACCCCAAGGGCAGGCTGTCAGGTCAGCCTGAGCTTCAGAAATGATGCAGGGCCGGCCCTCTATTCACACAGCCTCATGGATACTAGGTTAGCAACACCCCTTCATAGGGCCAGTCTGCCTTCGGGAAGAAGGACCCGGAGAAGTGATTATCTGTAAGACCCCTTCTTGTTCTAAAATCTACATTCTTGATAGGACACTTTAGAGACCTATGAAGTTCCCAGAATCTCCTAGCAGTTTGGAACACACTTCTAACCCTCCACAGAGAGGTTACGGGACAATGGACAGGTCAATCTTTATGCCATAGGCTCCTCTTCAAAGATAGCTGAATTGCGGGAAAGGTTTTGTAATGGGAACTGGGTGTGAAATATGTTCCATTCTTTACACACATGTAATATTACTAGCAGGATATTTTATTATGTATTAAAGCTTTTGTTTACCCAGCAGCTGTGCTCAGGTACCCATTCCTATGCTGAGTCCGTGGGTCGGCATGGAAGCTGGCCTGGCCGGGCCTCTGTTCTGAGGAATAGCAACCAGGAATATTAAATCATGGCATTAGTTGATACATGGTGTTCTTAAGTTTGCAGAAATATTCCTTAGGACCCTAGGGAATAGAATTGCTTGTGTGGGCTCCATAACAATAATTTAAAGGACACTGAATATATGCCAATTTTAATTATTTATTTTTTTAGCCCAATGATAGCACTGTAGAATTCAGGGAGTCCACATAACTGGAAGTGATGAGGAAAGACTAATAATGAGGGGAGGAAGGATATTCAGAAAGAGATTAAGCTGGCATAAGACTTGACAAAGTTACTTTCCCAAAAATCGAAGAAATCCAAAGGTTAGAGCACAGTTTTCCTCAACATTCAGGAGAGAGAAAAGAGGCTGGTCAATCTCTTCCAACAACACTTTGGGAGGGAGGGAGAGAGAGAGAGAGAGAGAGAGAGAGAGAGAGAGAGAGAGAGAGAGAGAGAGATAAAAAGCAAAAACAACAAAAACTCACCACAGGCATACAAACTCTGGCGCATGGTCCCAGGGAGGATGTAAGGCCTCTGGTGATGGGGATAATTATCTATAAGTAGGCCTGGTGGGCTCTTGTTCCGGAAACTCTTGAGAGAATCAAAGCAGGGCTTGAGGTATGAGAAGGGTAAATTCCTTCCCAGCCCCCACTCTGGTTGGCTCTACCGCCTGAGGGAGTACATTTCCCTTTGCTCTGCAGCGCCCCCATGGGGCTAAGAGTGGCGTGTCAAAGAGAACACAAGATGGACAGGACAAGATGTGCGTGCCTGCGCGCCTGTGTTTAAGGGTTGGGGTAGGAGTCGGGATGAGGCACACGGTCACTTTGACAAAGAAAATAATCAAAAAATAAATAAAGTAATTCTATTTATAGGAATAACAATACAGCAAAACCATACAATTCCTGTTGCAAAGCTACAATTGCACCTAGAAAACTGACGGTAGACAGCTAGGTACACAAAGAACATTGGGGTGTCATTGTGGTCCAATGGGATTTATTTAATCCTCTAAAATGAGAGGGAATGGGAACTCTAAATACAAAAACCAAAGCAGCTAGCCTGCTTCCCGGCAGCGTGGACCCATTTGACAAAGTCATGTGTCTTGGAAGTAAAATGTTCATTTCCACAACAGTGGTAGGATTAGGCCTATGTTTAGCCTTCAAATCTCCTTCCCAAGACAGGCTTTTCCTTCGGGACTGCAGTAATTCATCTGCCAGTAAGTATTCAAATATTCAGATTTCTCGGGGACAGACAACAGATTTTGTAAGTGCCAGCCCTGAGGAAAACAATCAGGTCCTTTGGACTCTCGCAGTTCTAAAGCCCGTGACATCACCTTTTGAAGCGGTGGTGTTACTCCAGCAACATAGCTGAAACTTCTTACAGGACCGTCTTTTGGGGGAGAGAGATTCCTCCGAAACCCCAAACCGTCAGCAGCGCTCAGACCTCTGCTCACATCTGTATTTTTAAGGCCACGTTTGGGGTTGTGGCCCACAAATATTCACGAGAAATTAATATATGAGGACATTTTGCAGAACCTTTCATAGAGCCCATCCGTGATTTAACAAGCCGCTTGAAGGACTTTCACAGCTAAAGCCAGAACAGCCTGACCTTTGAAAGCCTCTTTTGCTCCAAACACTTGGGGTTCATTCTTAAGGAATCCGAATATTATTTTCCCCTCACACCCTTCTTTCAAGAGACAGACATAAAAGAAACAAGAGTCTCCCTCATTCAGGGATGAGTAGGAGGGCAAAAAAAACCAAAAAACAACCAACAATTAAACAGACAAACTGGCAGCTATGAATAAACACACCAGGGCCCACAGTAAAGGGATTCGGCCCTGCATTCACCTTTAAAATAAAAGAAGAAAGAAGGGAAAGGAAGATCCACCCCCTCCTCCTCTCAGCTCTGCTCCAGGGCCCAGAGGACCCGACTGCATGCAGTGTGCGTCTAGGGGCAGCACAGCCTGTTCTCAACACACGCAGTGTCTGTGATCCTGGCAGGCAGGCCTTTAGAATTCCCTCAGGCTGATCCCTTTAACACGCACCGAAGAGATTTTTTTTCTTTCCTCTAACGACCTTGAAACGAACCCGGGGGGGGGGGGGGGGCGGGGGTTGGGGGGAAAAGGAAAAAAAAAAGTTCCAGACCTTAAGAAAAAGCAGAACACAAACACGTATTTGGCTGCAGAGAATTTTGTAGCCGACAAGCAAACACGTACCCACACAGACGTTTCTAACAGCCAGAAATTTCCTAAGAGTCAACAGTAACAGAAAGAGTAAACCCACCACTTGCTGTCCTGGAAAGAAACAAACCAAACCAAAGCAAATCCTTTTACATCTCTTTCAAGTGCAGGAAAGCCTCCTGTCAGTAAAAGTCCGGGAGGAAAAGGAAGCTGCACCAAGGGCGGTGTGTGCAGGGGGGGGGGGGGGTATGTTGAGGTTGTCATATGTGGCCAAAAAATTTAAGCTTCTGTCAGTGGTACTGGGGTTGAAATAATGCATATTTTAAATGCCTGAGCGATTCAAAAGGAAAAGAAAAGAACACAGAGACAATAAAATCAACGGATGACGGGTCCTACGCTTTACATAACGCCACAAACTTGCAAAAGGCAAAATTCAGAAGCAAAAAAAGCCCTCTAAATCATCAAAATACAACAAAACGCAATTTCAAGCCACCACCCCAAAAGAAAAAGAAAACCATCACCCCCCCAACATACTTTGTCCCAAATAAAAAGAAAACATATGAACCCACCGAAAACTGCTTGGCAAATATTTTTCTCGTGGTGCCTAATATTCTAGCTGGAAGGAGCTGTGGTATTTATTGTTTTCTCTCACTCGCCTCTCTAAACGTGCCTCTAACATACTTGTTCCAACGGCTCAGATCGCTCGCTCCCTTTTGTGTATTTAGCTCGTGGAGCCGAGTTTATGGGTAGGAGAGGAAGAATTAGCCCCAGACCCCGGGAAAGCGTAGCGCACTCCCCCTCTTATGTCACCGAATAGCAAATTAGTTCTCAGAATTCCAGAGGCCGAGCTTTGCTACAGCGAAGACGCCGACGTCACGGAGGAGGAGCCCACGTGACGGCGGCGGAGCGGGCTGTTCCATCGGCGGCCGGGGGCAGGGAGGGTCGCCTGCCAGCCGAGCTCGCCCGCCGCGGGACCCTTGGTGTTCCGGGCGGCGGTGCTGCGGGGAGCTCGATCAGCCCCGGATGGTGGCCAGCGGCGTGGCTCCGAGGCCCTGTGCCGGCCAGGAGGGCGCCGCGGTGTGCGGCGCCGTCATCGAGTCCTCCCCTGCTGCGGAGCAGTGGTAAAGCCCGCAGCTCAAATTCCGAGAATTGAGCTCTGTTGATTCTTAGAACTGGGGTTCTTAGAAGTGGTGATGCAAGAAGTTTCTAGGAAAGGCCGGACACCAGGTGATTATTGCTGTTGCTGCCGCCGCCGCTGCCGCTGCCGCCGCCGCCGCTGTTGCCGCTGGTGCCGCTGCCGCCGCCGCTGCTCATGATCATGATTTTACCTTTTAATTCTTTTTTTTCCCCGCTTTTGCCAAATGCTTTGGCTCCAAGTTTCCTATGTGTATCTATTGATATAAATGTATCTATTTATTGATTCTAGCTGTCAGGTGTTAAAATAAATGCCGAAGATCAGCCCCACGTCTCTCCCACTGTAGGATCTAGCTTTACGCATACGTATTCTTTTTCTTCTTCTTCTTTTTTATTTTTATTTTTTTGCTGTCTTGGAGCGCCTGGGCCGCCTCGGGGAGGCTGTGCCGCCCTGCCCGGTGTTGTTTCGGTGTTTGGAGACGCTGGGGCGCGGGGCGGCGGGCGCTGGGCTGCGCGGCCTGGGAGGGCGGACCGCGGCGGCCCCGCCGGCTTCGCGCGGCTTGGCTTGCTTTCTCTGCTCGCTTGCAAACTGCCTTCCCCGCCGCTGCCTCCCTCCCCGCTCAGTTCTCCCGGTGCCCGCGTTGGCGGCCGTCCACCGGCCCCGGCCCCGCACCAGTCCCTTGCCTTGCAGCCGAGCCGGGAGTCGGCATGGGGGGAATGCAAGCCAACTCCTCGGCTGGTTGTTTTATTTTCCCTTTTCTTTTTGGTCATAAAGCCAGATGAAGTAGCGTGTCTGCAGTTTCCTTTGAGAGCCGTGATCTTCCCAAGGAGAGACAAGAGTGTTTTGGGGATCCTTCGCTTGCACGGGGGGGCGGGGATGTTGAATACTTTGAAAATTATTCTTTCTTGGTTGTGAGTCGAGGCAGTCGGGAACCCGGGTGCGCTCGGTCTCCCCAGCCGGAGGAAGAAGGCTTGAAGGCGGGACAGGGATTTTGGGGGGTGAGCGGGAGAGGGGTGCGCGGCTTTTTTTTTTCTTTTTTCTTTTTTGCACCTGCGGCGCTTTCAGCGTGCAGGACCCGGGGGATCTTGGCCTGCCCGTCCAGAGCTCCGGGGAGGTGGCGGGATTTCTGGCGGCCGCGGTGTTTGTATTTTGGGTACTGCGTGACTGTGTTGGCTCTCAGCGGTAGTTCCCCTCCCTTTCCTAAATTTAATTTCATTTTTCCCTCTTGGTGCAAGATGTGTAAAAAGGCAGCGATGGGCCTTAATATAGCGGATCCCAGGCTTCAGATTCCCAAGGTCCTTCTTTTGGGCGAAGGAATGAAAACGGAGCCCCAGTCCGCGTTCCTGATGTGAAAGACCAGGGAGGGAAGAAGGGCACTTTGTGACTCTGGCTGGGGGACCCGGGACGGGAGGAGCGGGTGCGAAAGGGAGATCTTTGTGAGTGATTTTGCAAAAACAGATTGCGAGGTTGGTTGGATTTGCAACCTGTGGCTCTCCTCGAGGGAGTAGGAAGGGGAAAAAGCGGCGGCGGCGGCCCGGGGCGGGAGTGGGTTGGGAGTTGGAACCTAGGAAATTGGCTGCCTGGGGGGCAGCGGGAGCTAGAGGCAACCCTGCCGGAAACAGTGAACGTTAAATGTCTTGAGAACTGTGGGTTGCATTGCCTTTATAATACCGTGTTATTGGAGCCCTGGAGAAAATGGAACTAGTGTTGCAAAAATGAGTTTTAAAACTACCCCATGAAAAGAAACAACACCACCAACCAACATTTTGTTTTTAAGAGTAAAATAAATAACCTCTGTGTTGTGCTCTCTCCCTTAGAGATTTAGTTTTGGTGCTAGGGATAGTGAGAAATTACCTCAAACCTGGTGCTGGCCGTCTAGAGCTGTTACAGGGTTCTTGAGACAAGCGTTGTACCCCACCCCCTTAAAAAGTGATTTTTTACCTTTGCCCCCTCCCAACATTGTATAGTTCCCAGGAGGAAGATATGCTATGCCAGTGGATGCTTTACTGTCCACAAAAAGAAACAGCAAAAAAGAAAAGAGGGAGGGGGCAAGAGAGAGAGGGATCTTCGGAAAGGACTGTTCGGAAAGGACTGTTTAGAAATAGAGTTTGTGGCTCTGAGCTACGCCGCTGGCTTCCTCTGCAGTTCGCTGGTTTCCCTTTTTCTTTGCGAGGTGTTGTGTGTGGTTTTAATAAATAACTTTAAAATAAGGGAGGGGGCAGCATGACCCATCCGGACACGGCTATCTGTTTTGCTCTCTATTTGCTACCAAGAGCCTTTGGCACTTGAGCAGGACCTCGTAAATCTGCAGCCCAAGTTGAAGTTCATCTGGCCCTAGTCCACACGCTATTCCTGGAGGTAGCAAACATGAGCTCAAAGGAGCGAGGTGAAATCATACTCTTCTTTATGTACCGATTTTAATAAAAAGGAAAGAGATTTGTCCCTGGGGGAAGAGGAAATGGCGAGAAAACACCAGGGGATAGACATTTTCTCTTGCTAAAACGGCTGCAGTTGAGCCCCTGGGGCCAAAATAGAAACCTGTAGATAGACAACCCCCCATCCCCCATCCCCGTTTATAAATAGAAGTTTCCAGTATCCTATTTGGAAGAATTTCTTTTCTAATACTTTCAGGCGTTGAATGATTTTAAGGGTCTGTTTGGTACCCACAATAAGGCTGGATGCTGTTCAAAACAACTAAGCCAGTGGAGGGGAGAGACCGCCCGGAAAAACGGGTATTCACGCATTACCTTGTACCTCTCCTCAGTTTTGAAAGGTTTACAGCAATATTTTCTTGAAAAGACTAATTTATTCAGGGCTTGGTGGTCAGGAATGGCATCCTAGATTTCTAAGTTGTCGTTTACTGAGCCCCGAGGAGGAGTTCCAGTTATGGGTTGAGTAAATGCCATGACTAGATGTCAAAATCCTTCCTTCCCTCTGTCCCCTGCTGGGGATATCCCACTCTGTTGTGAAAAAAAAAAAAATTAAGTTTCAGGGGAGGTGGTGCGGCAGCGCCACCCCTTGGTGGGCGAAACTATTGGTAAAAGCCGAGCATTTGAAAAATAATTGTGAAATGACCGTAATTAATTAGGCATGTGGCCCCAACTCCCTCTGAGAGATTTTTCAGAAACTTTGAGAGATGAAACTTTTAAATGAAATACCTTGCAGTTAATCTCTTAAATAGGATAGAAACACGTTGTTTTCAAAGCGAGCACGATGTCCTTCCCGTAAATGAAGGGACACCCTTGCCGGGGTGGAGGTGGGCTGCAGTTGGCTCTTAGCTGCGTCTTCACTGGCCTGATGTAGCTATTTTTCCACTTCGGACTTGACTGCTCAGGGTACCCGAAGTCTGCTGATAGTTTGAGAATAGGAGGAATGTTTTGGTGCGAAAACCCGTAGGAACGAAAGTGCTCTAGTTTCCCCCGGGTCTGTGGTGGCGTGTGCCCGGGTGGTGGGGAGAGGCTTGTGGACCGCAGGTAGCAGCGGTAGGCTGGGCTGCAGCCATGTGGGAGTCAAGGCAGTGTGGCGCGTGCCGGTTTCCTACACTGCGCAACAAGTGGGACCTCAGCGACGCGCCAGGGCTCTGCACAGTGGCCCCGCTGGCCGGCTTCTTTTCGCTCCTTCCAACCCTTTCTGCTTCCCATTTTCAGACCAGTAACCCTCCTCGAAGGACATAGTCGGTTCGGTTCCCTTCTCCTGCTTTTGCTCCGTGGGTCAAGGTTTTAAGTCCGGCTCCCTTTTCCTCCGTGGGGATGGCTCACGAACTTATTCCCGGCCTTTGCTCCTCTCTCTCTCTCTCTCTCTCTCTCTCTCTCTCTCTCTCCCTCCCCCTCCCCATTCCCTCTCTCTCTCCGCTTCTCCTCTTCTTTCTCTCTCCTTTTGCATGGATTTCTCTTAATACTTTAATGTATCACTTTTTTTAAGTGAGTGTAGCCAGCTTTGAGGCGGGGAGGAGGGGAACAAATAACCAAATAATACCCGAAAGCAGTTCCCGAAACGGTGCGGTGTTAGATAGAGGCGTGAGCACCGGAAGAACAGAGTTGCATCTGCTCAACTAAATGTTTTCCTATTTCAGTTTTGGAAGCATCTCCTCCCCCTCCCCCCTCCCGCCACCCCCAAGAAACAGACAGAAAGCCTCTGGACAGGGCTACCGTGGAAGTCTGGGCTAACAGGGTGATTCTTGAACGGGCTGAGTCCGCCACCTAGTGGTAGGTTATGGTCAAGGTTCCTGCTCGGAGCGAGCGGTGGTCTGATCTGATCAGCCAGGACTGATGGGAAGGGCATCATTCTCCAACGAAGATGGCATTTGACTTTCAAAGTTTTGACAAGACAAATGAAAACCATATGCTCACGTCGTTCATATCCACACTCGCTCAGTCTTAAATATCTATCTCAACTAAGAAACGGTCCTGTCTTTGAGGACATCTGTGACTTCACGGACAAAATTGGTAGCAGAAAAAGATGACACCCGAAACCTTCAGGATCTTTAGGATTTAAACTTCGTCATTTTTTTTTTTTTTGTGGAATTAGGCCGAACAGTAAGTTTCTGAATTCCAAAGAACCTATCTCAGTTCATGGGGCAGGGGGACAGCAGTTTAGACCGTAGGTCAGTGGAGTTGCCAGTGCACGCTGGAGGCGTTCCCTACCATTCTTTAGCATGAGGTTTTTGACAGTAGACATGAAAAGATTACAGAGGTCCTGAGGGGGTGGGGCGTCTCAAAGCTGTAGCATGTGCTTGTACTGGGTGGCCAGGGACTACTTAGCCCAGTTGGGGATGTGCGCCAGTTAGCTGTCTGTCTTTACATCCCGTTTATCCTTTTCTCAGTGGCCTGGAGAGAAAGCAGGTTGGTGTGTGTGTGTGTGTGTGTGTGAGAGAGAGAGAGAGAGAGAGAGAGAGAGAGAGAGAGAGAGAGAGAGAGAGAGAGAGAGAGAGAGAGAGAGAGAGAGAGAGGAGTTAGCTGTGCCTAAATTATTCTTTGAAAATTTGTGCCCCATCTCTTGAGTAAAGTTCTTTCTCAAAGCTCTTAACTGAGATGGCTCGCTTGCATCGGCGCGCGGGCGACCTCTAGCGGCGGCCTGCGTCCTCACCGCAGAGACACAGCTGTCTTCCCCCGCCCAGGCCGGGTGGAATCCAGTTCATCCTCTATCACTGCGGGAGTTGTCCCAGGCCGCCGCGCGGAGAAATGCGCCTCTGTTCGTGTTGGAAACGAATCTGGGGACGTGTCTGAAGCGCGGTCAAGTTTGACTCATCGCTTTCCAAGGACAGTTAGTGCCTTCCATCTTCATTAACGTGAATAAAGACCTTGGCTGACTTCTGTCTAGATCGAATTTTAAAAGGCATTGTTTGCTTGGGGAGATCATGCGTCTCTCTCCTGCTCAACAGCACCCCCCCGCCCCGTACCCCAAGGCCGATCCCAGTCCAGCCAGGATGGGGGAAGAGATCTCTGCTGAAGGACATGGTTTGCTGGCATTGTCTGCAGGCCTTCTGGATGCTGTCTTGGCCAGGTTCATGGGGAGCATCCCCTCGGCTCTTCAGATCTTGATGATAAAACACATCCCTTTGTTTTATTTTATTTCCTCGAAGTTTGCAACCTTGCAAGAGCTCTGGGGCAGGACGTGTGACAGAAATGAAAGTCAGGACATAAAGTCCTCTGGTTAGTTTGGTTCACGCAGCTGGGAGGCCTTCACGCGACCAGTATCTCTTATTATCTTTAGTGTCATCGCCACCCAGAGGCCAGAGCAGCAATATTGTCCTCCTCTGCCTCCAGAACAGAAGCAACGCTTTGACTCTACCCGTTATCTCCAGAACGCGGTGGCTAGACCTGAGTACCCTGTTAGGAAAGAGCGGTCCTGTTGGCGCCCAGAGGCAATGTTTCAACGCGTCAGCCCCGCACCCCCACCGGGCCTTATTCAAACTCCTTGCCCCTAGACAGTGCTTTACACTTTGAGAATCCACTTGGGATTCTTCGGCGAGCTATTGGAGTTATTAGATTACCAATAATCCAGCAACCATCCTGGATAGAGAGGAGTGGAAAGGCGTTCTCCAAATCCAGACACTGGCCAAACTAGGTCAATGGGAAGGAGGGGCGGGCCGAGCAGCCAGTTGTAGTTTCAAACCTTGATGGAGGGCTCTCTCTAGCGTCAGGACGAGGTAAATACATCATTGTGATTGCACTTGTAATAAGTGCGGTAACTCCTCAGATATTCAACCCGGTCTCGTTTAAAAATTCCCTTAGCCCAGGGCGAAGGACGAGGAAAACAGAAAACAGGATCTTAAGAGCAGAGAGACCCCATCTCTGGGGTGCGAGCCTGACCCCGCCTCTGCGGCGCACAGAGGCGCAACCCGCTACTTTTAGGACTGGTCTGGGTTGTGCAGAAACCGCCCCCAAAACGCAAGGCGGCTGAGCACTTGGTGGGTGGTCACAGCGGGGGACATTCCTGAGATCGAGAGGCAGCCTTGCGGGGTCTTAGAGCTCCGACAGCAGTCGGCGCGGTTACCAAGTCTCTGCGTTTTCGGGAAAATAAGATTCTGAAATCCCGGAGCCTGTCTGGCTTCAGCCTGGTAGCTCTGGCACTAGAGAAGGCTGGGCGGAAACCTCCCCTTTCTTGCCAACGTAGGCGGAAGAGACTTTCAGTTTAGTTTTCTTTTAGGTTTAGTTTTCTTCCCAGTCAGCCAGGTCTAGAAGGGTGGGGACCCTCACTCCTGGGGGACTTTATCTTTTTGACCTTGACTTCTTACCTACCCATTCCCTTCTAAAGCAGGGGGAAAAAATAGCAATCAGGAGGACAAAAAGAAACCCCAAGAAATAACATCAAACCCCCAAGACAAACAACAACAAAACAAAAGCAAACAAACTCCAGCCACCCAGTTGTCAGAATGGGGCAAACTGGAAATCATGGAGCGAGCCTCGGACTGTCTCCAGACTCCTGGGCTCCACACTCTGCGGTTTTTAGCTTGTTGGAGGCAGGGATGGGGACCAGGTGGACTCGGGCCTGGAAGCCAGAACCCAAGTGGACGGCGGATTTAGGGGAAAGGGTGCTCTGTCCCCGGCCAATGCTGCATAGCCAGCAAACCCGGATTGGGCTTCCTGGAAAGTTACTTCTCGTTGGAGCCCGCGCTGGGCAGGAGTGTTCTATGAAATCCTCAGAGCTGAGGTCGACTACGTTCCGGGAATGAGAGGGTTGTGCCATTCCCCTCGTGGCCCCCTGCTTTGACAGAGTAACAGGAAAAAAAAAAGTCGCACATAATGTTAGCTACCGACGTTCACGAAAACATTTATTTGAATGTAACCAAATTAAGGGCCGTTACAGTCCTTCCACCCGGCCCTGGCCGCACCTTCCCGGGCTTCGTGGCGGATGGGCAGCAGTGCCAACCGATCGCCAGGGGGTGGGCGGTCCCAGGAAGACAGGTACAGACAGCCAGGTGCGGTGAGCGAGTCTGCGCAGGCTTGCCAGGTGGCGGGGCTGGGGTTTGTGCCGGTGCGTGTGAGCAAGCAGTGCGACTGCCTAGTGCCACCTCCGCCCAAAAGGGAAGGGAAAGGATGAAGTCTTTAGCATTGGCTCCTTTGCTAGCTCTTGCCTCGCCTCTCAGGTCTCTCTGCTTGTATGCCCCCCCCCTCTCTGTCTCTCTCTCCCTGTCTCTCTTTCTCTGTCTCTCTCTCTTCTCCCGCCCAGTTGTTCCCAGTCCTGCTGCCTTCTTTGCCTGTTTTTTTTCTCTCTCTCCTCTCCCCCCCTTTTCCCTCCCAATTGAAGCTCCTCTAGAGAAGCTGTCTTACGGAGTGCACACAAGGAAAGTGCCCCGGGAGGGAAAGGACGCAGGGGTGGGTTAGTCATCATTTAATTCTTAGTTGGGGATTACTGCAGCTGGACCTGGAGTTAGAGCAGAGATCCAGTTCTGGTTCCCTTCTACTTGCTGGCCTGATTCTCCCTGGGCTCGTTTTCATAGAACCTTGTTGGAGGATGGTTTTGAGATCTTGGGCAAGGGCTCGTTCCGGGAGCCTCAGTTTCCTTCCTAGTGAATCCTGACCGTTATAAAGATAAGGCACTATGATGGGTGGGAAAGGACTGAGTGATTTGTGATCCAAACAAGCTGGTTCGCAGAGCTTCCGTGTCTGCAGCGCCTGGAGGGAGGTGCCATTCAGCTAGAACATTAGTCGGCACCCTGGGAGTTGTGGTGGGGCCTGCTGAGAACAGTTGGCTCACAGAGAAGTGAATCCTAGAGCCGAGTTACTCTGCAGAGCACAGGCTGCCGGGGTCTGGGCAAGCGCTTTGTAGGAGTCAGGCTTAAAGGAAAAGCCCAAGGCCAGCCTGACAGTGGACGTAGCAGAACTGCCTTTTTGTTTGCTTTCGGTCTGTGCTCATCTGGAGTGAGTCATTGCCACTTGTCATGGTGAAATGGCAAATCTGGGCTTCCTGTGGTTCCAAAAGTCTGTGACTGGAAATCCACAAGTGGTGGAAGCTCAGCACAAGTATTCCAGAAGGGTTTGTGGATCTCTTCCACGGGGAAGCAGGAGAAAGTTAGTAAATAAACGTCACGTGCCTGCAGCATTTATTTTCAAAAGAGACAAGTTTATTGAAGTTCTGTGAGGCCCAAGTGAAACCTGTTTCCTCACTCTGGATTGGGGTGGGTTCAGGAAGAACTAGGTTCTTTCGTCTTTTTTCTGCCCTCTGTCTTCCCTCGTTTCCTACCCCAGACTTACACACACACACACACACACACACACACACACACACACACATCTTAAGTCGAAGCTGATGAGATTGACTGACTGGCCCTTGGCACCACAGAGAAATATGTGAGTGGTTACAGACTCAAGGAAACCTCTCATTTTAGAGTGCTCATTTGGTAAGACTCAGCCCCGTGGAATGGGACAAAGTTGGTGTGGGGGAAGGAGCTTAAAACTGAGATTCACCCACCTCAGGGTGCCGCTGTCCTGCGTTTTTTACAGCACGTAGGCTGACTTGGAAAGAGGACAGGAATCTAAGCCAGAAGACCTAGGGCCAGGCCATCAGTGATCTACGTGGCCCGACATGACCTCACTGGCCTTAGGCTACTTTACTGGGAAAGCACTTCTGGAGGGCCGTGCTGTTTAAATGGGAGAACAGAGTTCCGATATATTATCGCTCTGCTTTGCAGCCCACATCCGATCATAAAGGAGAGTCTTGCACCTACGTTCTTAATGATTTTTGTTTTAGAGAAACCAGTCTGGAGAGAGCACATATTTCATTAAATCTCTTTAAGGCTCCCTGGCCAGTTCTCAGCTAAACCACACAGTTAAATCTTTCACCAGCCAGGAGAAGGCCAAATTTGGAAGCTAGGGTCAGTCCTCTGTCTAGTTTTAGACCTGGAAATAGAGGGAGGGGAAACTTTGAAAAAGAGGGCAAAGATGCTCAAGGAATGCACAAACATGATGTCTCAGGTTTTATTCTGTAGACTTGGTATTCTGTCTTAAGTGTTCCAGAGAATCAGGAAATACTGCCTGGCTGTTTGTCCTGAACAAGTCATTTGAACCCTGAGTCTCAATTTCATCACCAGTGAAATAAGGATAAAGATATTGGTCGTATCAGCCTTGTGGAATCATTCTAAGACTTGAAAGATAATATTTTTAGCAAGGGTTTGAATAGCATCCAGTGTTTTTCGGTCCCCGAAGAATCATTATCATTAATATTGAAAGAGTTACTTATTTTTTTTTTGTTTCCCATAAACCCAAATGGTCTTTTGATGTATATATATATATTTTTTTACCCTGGGAAAGGAAATATATATATACAGGTATTTGTAATTAATGCTGGCAGTAGTATTCCCAGCAGTAAGGCTAAGGCATTGTTACCAAATGGCTTTGAGTGCCTGTTGTTTCTATAAGCGCGGAGATGGAATATGTTTGCTAGCTTGAGGGAAAACCGCACCAGCTGGCAGGCTGCAGCTATCAAAGCAAAGCTAACTACGTGTGTCCTAAAATAAGACCGAGTGGACAATCTTACACTCATTTAGTCAATCTCTGTTTGCTCTCTTCTCTGCAGTTTTAAAGCAAAATTTTGGACTGTGAAGCAAGGCATTGGGTGAGTAAATCGAATCATAGGCTGTAAGATTTGTAGATGAAGTATTTCTTTTGGATTTCACCCACCCATGCATGTGTGCTTCTTTTTAAGCTTGCCACCTTTCGCTTGACGAGCAAAGGATAATGACTTCTCTCTGTACAGATCTCAGCGCTTACCCCTCTGTCCCGATACTAACTGACTAAATAGCGCTGCGTGGTATTATTTGTCCATCCCTTTTTCGTTTACAGTTCAGGCTAGTCTGGTTGCCTACCTGGCCAGGGTTTGCTAGTGCTAAAGCATTCAAATTATTGAACAAAACAACTCACAATCCCAGAGCATGGGATGGATAATGAAATGACATACAGATAAAAATAGCTGCACCTTTTTTTTTAAAAAGAACCTATTATGGTCTAGGCACATATTTCTAATTTGAAATACCACATAGGTATTGCCCTTCCTATTTTGGAAAACCAAAGCCCAGAAACAGTAACAACACACTCCACGTCATAGAGCTGGTGAAAGGCAAAGTGAACTGGGTAACTCTCCAAGAGTGGTTTTCTTCATTGCAACATACTCACTGCCTCTCAATGCTTGGCAGTGTCTTTAGTATGTGGGAAAAACACTTAACAGTCCTTCCCTTCCCCTTTCCCCTAAAGAGCTTTCTACCTTAGCTTTTATTCTCCCTGTTCGACAGCTATGAATAGAAATGTCCAGAGATGGACTAGGAATTGTCCACTAGATACCTGAGTTGCGTTCTACACCTTAGCTTGCTAAACTATTGTCTACGTCTTTTGGTAAGCAGGGAGTAGGTTCTAGAGGACTAATAGGAATTTAATTTCTGTTCAGGCGAAAACAACATGGCCTCACCGGCTGACAGCTGCATTCAGTTCACCCGCCATGCGAGTGATGTTCTTCTTAACCTTAATCGTCTCCGGAGTCGGGACATCTTGACGGACGTTGTCATTGTGGTGAGCCGTGAACAGTTCAGAGCCCATAAGACAGTGCTTATGGCCTGCAGGTGAGTGGGGTTGGAGTGAGGGGTGACTGTATAAAACGGGGAGGTAGGCCAGGTGTTGGTAATGCATGCCTTTAATTCCAGCACTCTGGAGGCAGAGGCAGGCAGATCTCTGTGAGTTCGAGACCAGCCTGGGCTACAGGAACTAGTTCTAGAGCAGGCTCCAAAGCTACAGAGAAACCCTGTCTTGAAAAAATAAACTAAAATAAATAAAACGGGGAGGTAGGATTGGCAGCCGCCAGCGAGATGAATATGTAGGCTGTTCCTTGCGTCTGTGATGATATTCCCATAGTCTCCAGATCTCAGCACCTGGCCTGGTGTTCTGGACTTTCAGGAAACAATTGAAGGAACACACCTTTAGAGAACAGAGGCATAGGTGGTGAAGACATGATGTGTCTGAAGCCAGAAGGGAGACACATGCTGGTTAACTAAAAGACATTCAGTTGACCAGTGTGCGGATGAAAAGCAAAGGGCAGGTTTTAAATACTTTAAGCACGATAGCTTTTGCCCTTTTATGCCATAACTGTACTTTATTAACAAAATATTTTTGAAAGAGATTTAAACACATTACTTAGCTAAGGCTGGCCTTGAAATTCTGATTCTCTTACCCCAAGTGCTGGAATTGTAGATATGAACCACCGTGCCCAGATTCTTGGACTTAATTTATACTATAACTATAGTTCCATGGTTTAAGTAGAGAGTAAGTCTGATAATTCTTCGTATTTTCCTGAATTTCAAGTTTCCTGGGTGATATCATCTTAAGTCAATTCTAAGCTCTCCCCACAAGCTGTCTCTTGTGGATGGCACCATGTCTCCATTTTGCAATGAAAGCAAGGCACAGGTCTATGTAGTGATGTACAGCTCTGTGTTGCAATTAGAGAAAGTAGCTAATGTCTAATAATAGCACTTAAAAAATAATGTGAAGGGCTGGCTGATGAGATGGCTCAGGAGGTGAAGGCACCTGCCTCCAAGCCTGATGACCTGACTTCAACCCCAGGACCAACATGGTGGAAGGAGAGGAGTAGCTCTGACATGCTGTCCTCTGGCCTCCACTCCCATTCCGTAGCATACACACACACACCACACACACACACACACACACACACACACACACACACACGAAATAAAAATTTAAAATACAGAGAACAGAAATTTGTATGGACATAAAATAAGAGCTAGTGTTTACTGTGTGCCAAGCATCAGTGCTACTGCTAACGGTTTTCATTTTTGCCACAATCCTATTAAGCACACACAATTCTCCCCTTACCTTGGCAGATAAGGAAACCAAGGTACAGAGAAGTTAAGGGTATTAGACAAGGTTGAAGAATTGCTTATTGGGGAAGGAAGGCCTGGTTCGTTTCTGGCAACCCACCCAGAAAGAGAAAAGTTGAGATGACAAGCTAGTCTAGAATTCTAGTTTTAGCTGAATAGACAACATGACCTGAAGCCATGACTTGGGATTTGCCTCAAATCTAGGAATAATTGACCTTCTGATGATCCCTGGCCTTTGAGAAAGGTGGTGGAGCATATGGATATATTATTATTTGTCACCCAGCCCTAATTTGCTCCTCATGCCATCGACTTTTTAAAATAAGGGTATTGTGGCAAAGAGAGGAAAGTACCTAGACACAACTTAAAGTCAGAGTAGTGGCTGCAGATGAGAGCTAAGTCAGGCAACAGGAAAGCAGTGCCGTGATTCTGAGACTGTTTCCCACACTCTGCGAATTCAGTTTCCCCATTTGTAAAGATGGAACTTGGTGGTACGTATCTCGAGAATTAGGAAGGACAGAGGTTAATGTAAACATGCAAAACGCTTCCAGAATTCCTGATGTGGGAAGTCCTTCTGTCTATGTGTTGCTTTTATTGATTGATGAGTACAGCTGTTTTGGCCAACGACTTAGCAAAGGAAAGCCAGGCGGGAAATCCAAACAGAGATATATATATATAGAGAGAGAGTAGGTGTGGAATCAAGGAGATGCCGTGTAACTGTCGAAGGAGAAAGATGCCAGAATGATACCGGTAGGCCACAGGCTCGTGGAGATACACAGATATGATAGATGTGTTAATTAAAGATGTAAGAGCTATCTAAAAATACACCCGAGCCATTGGTCAAACAGTGTTGTAATTAATATAGCTTCTGTGTGACTGTTTGGGTCTGGGTGGCCAGGAAACCAAAGCACAGTCCCATCCACAAATTCCTGGTATCTGCTAGGCTGTCCACAGGTAGAAGGTATTAGCAAGTGCCACAGAGCTTAGGGCTCTGGGCTCTGGGACGACAAGACACAGATGCTTTGTGACCCCTACAGTTGCACCTCTGTTTGTCTTACAGCGGCCTCTTCTACAGCATCTTCACTGACCAGTTGAAGTGCAACCTTAGCGTAATCAATCTGGATCCTGAGATCAACCCTGAGGGGTTCTGCATCCTCTTGGACTTCATGTATACATCTAGGCTCAACCTACGGGAAGGAAACATCATGGCTGTGATGGCTACAGCCATGTACCTGCAGATGGAGCACGTTGTGGACACGTGCAGGAAGTTCATCAAGGCCAGGTGAGCTGCTCTCTAGGTAGAAGCTGGGGGTGCAGAAAGGATACTTCCAGATCAGAAACCGTGCCTGCCACGACAGCATCTAGGACACGTTACACCCACCTCGCTACAAAAATTGTGCGATTCTCCCCTTTATTCGTGTACTCTAGGCAGATGTCATTCCTTGCAGCAGCCCAGGTGTGTATGTCTGGGGTACCCTCCGCCCCCCCTCACACACCCTGCCCCATTTTCTTTTAGTCTCTTTCCTTCCACTCACCCTGCAGGGCCAGAACTGGAAGCCTTTTCCGCGGAGGTTTAGCCAACTCTCTCTGCTCCTCTGTGTTTGGCAGGCAGCTTCCATTTTTGCTTTTCCTTCCAATCTTAACGATTGTGTGCATCTGTGGGCCCTCCTTTAGATGTCTACCGTAACTATTTACACATGTGCCTTAGTACCCCACCAGAGCACAGGCCACCAGAGTGTATGGGGCTGCCTTACTCTTCATCCATATAGCCACGCTCCCGTTGGGAGGACGCGTAAAGAATTGAATTGAGTTCACTTGGTCGAACCCTTACCCAAAGTGTAGGAGACATGAACATCCGTGGAGGTCGAGGATGCTGAGAGCTGAGGAAGTGGAGAGCCTTGCTAAATACAGCAGCTACTTGAGGCTCAACTGTCTCAGAATCGCTCGCCTCGGCAGCTTCAGGGAAACGGCCTTCTTTCTTAACAGAAGGCATTTCCAGTCTGCATCTGACCACTTCCAGGGACAAAGAACTCATGTTCTCAGTGCCGTACCATCCACCTGGGGTAGCTGGAAAGTTCCTCCTGACAGCCTCTTAAAATCTGGCTCTTGGAGCCCTCACTTTCTGATTCTGGCTCTGTTACTGAAGAGCGGGTTGAGCTGTCCTACTTTTTTCACCCACATAAGTCCCTTTAAGTATTTGCAGCCAATGTTTTTGTCTCCAGTGGGTGATAATGGCGGTGAGTTCATCATTGCCTTCATTTGGGAGTACTTTATACAGGCCAGGCCTTGTGCTCCCAATAGTTAAGCAACTTGCTCCAGGTCAGAGCTGCGTTTGCAAACCAGGCCAGGCTGCTCCGGAACCAGGGCTTCTGCACTGGTCACTGCCTGCTCTCCTCCTCCGTGGTCTTCTCAGTGCGTCTGTTGAACACATGGGCCAGGTCTATTAGATGATATTCTCCGAGTGTACTGCACTAACATTGCGTACATTCCTCCCTCCTTGCTTCCATGTGTATAACATGCCTGCCTTTCCCTGAAGAATTTTCCTCGAACGATTTGGCTCATTGCTTGAAACGAGATACGGGCCTTAAACGCTTTATGTAGCCCATCAAATTCTACGTCACCAGAAGAATTATCATTCCCAAGACATGCATACATATGGGCCTCTCATTTGCAAGGTCAGGTCCAGTCAGACACAGACTATATGAGTGACTCCTCTTCCTCAGTTTCCCCAACGGTAGCCCGGCTACTAGACCTCTGAGTATTAATGCCTTATAATTGTGTTTCTCACTCCAGAGTCAAATCTTCCATGTCTAGCTGACTCAGACCCAGAAGTGGTTATATAGCTGTGGAGAGTCACCTGATTAACAGTTCTAACCTGGGGTCTTTTATTTTTAACCCCCACAGCGAAGCAGAAATGGCCCCAGCACTTAAGCCTCCCCGAGAAGAGTTCCTGAACAGCCGGATGCTGATGCCCCATGACATCATGGCCTACAGAGGGCGTGAGGTCGTGGAGAACAACCTGTCGCTAAGAAATCCCCCTGGGTGTGAGAGCAGAGGCTTTCCCCCTGGCCTCTACAGTGGCCTGTCAACACCGCCAGCCTCGTATCCTATGTACAGCCACCTCCCACTCAGCAGCTTCCTTTTCTCTGATGAAGAGCTACGAGATGCCCATGCCCGCATGCCTGTGGCTAACCACTTCCCCAAGGACCGGACCCTCTCCTGCGACAGTGCCAGGCCAGTCCCCGGTGAATATAGCAGACCAGCCATGGAGGTGTCCCCCAGCTTGTGCCACAGCAACATCTACTCACCCAAGGAGGCAGTCCCAGAGGAGGCACGGAGTGACATCCACTACAGTGTGACTGAAGGCCCCAAGCCTGCTGCCCCCTCTGCCCGGAATGCCCCATACTTCCCCTGTGACAAGGCCAGCAAAGAAGAAGAGAGACCCTCTTCGGAGGATGAAATCGCCCTGCACTTTGAGCCCCCTAATGCACCCTTGAACCGGAAGGGTCTGGTTAGTCCCCAGAGTCCCCAGAAATCTGACTGCCAGCCCAACTCACCCACAGAGTCCTGCAGTAGCAAGAATGCCTGCATCCTTCAGGCCTCTGGCTCCCCGCCAGCCAAGAGCCCCACTGACCCGAAAGCTTGCAACTGGAAGAAGTATAAGTTCATTGTGCTCAACAGCCTCAACCAGAATGCCAAATCAGAGGGCACGGAGCAGGCAGAGCTGGGCCGCCTCTCCCCTCGAGTCTACCCAGCCCCACCTGTCTGCCAGCCACCTTTGGAGCCTGAGAACCTTGGTCTCCAGTCCCCAACCAAGCTCAGTGTGAGTGGAGAGGACTCAACTATCCCCCAAGCCAGCCGACTCAATAACATCGTGAACAGGTGATTTCAGAGGCCGTGGGTCTAAGGTCAGGGGTTACCTGTGCACAGTTCTGAGCTTCCCAGCCTCAGATGGATGCGGAGTGCAGGGCTGTGAAGTCTTCTGTCTGAAATGCTCAGCGGGACTGGTACAAGCATGAGTTAACCTGAGCCATGAAGCATAGTTCACGGAAGTTGTATTTTTGTTTCATTTTCTTTTGTTTTCCATAGCAAGAGAGAGCATTGCCTTGTGTGGGAGAAAAGCATTCCACAAATCCCAGAGGCACTTCCTGTGGTCGTGATTGATCAGGGAACCCTCCTTTTAGACCAAGAGAGGCTGTGGGCTGCAGGCCTTAGGAGAAGCAACTGAGCCTAGAAGTGGAAGTTAGGCACTCATTGACACCAGTCAGCAAAAGAGAGCTTGAGGAGGGCTCGACCCTTAGAACTGCAGAAGGCAACTGTGATCTCTGGGCTTGCCTGAGCATACAAAGAGAGGTTAGCATGGAGACCATGTGGACTACTACTGCTGGCTGCTGACACCCCTTTTTTTTTCTGTCCCCAGGTCCCTGACAGGCTCCCCCCGAAGCAGCAGTGAGAGCCACTCACCACTTTACATGCACCCCCCAAAGTGTACGTCCTGTGGCTCTCAGTCCCCACAGCATACAGAGATGTGCCTCCACACTGCTGGGCCCACGTTCCCCGAGGAGATGGGAGAGACCCACTCAGAGTACTCAGATTCCAGCTGTGGTAAGTCCCTTTCTCCTCCTTCCCTCTCAGTGCCTGGGAGAAGGGAGGCCCCTCTGCTCTGTGGGATTTGTGTTTCCATTTTATTGGTGCTGCTGTGTCTAGGAAATGACCTGGATTATAAATCTGTTGGTATTCACCATCACCAACAATGGTTTGTCTCTCCCCCTCGTCTACCAGGAATGGGGCTGGTCAGGGGTAGGTGTTCAACTTGGGTAACTGAGTGGCTGAGCAATCTTCAGCTTCATTCCAGCAACAGTGGCTTGCAGGGCTGCTGGGACCCCCAGAGCTTCCTCAGCCTGTTTGTGCCAAAACTACTGTACTGACCTGGATGCGTGGTAGTGTTTCTTGGAAGGCTGTAGATTCTCTTTGGAGAAACTTCTGGCCTTAGTCATTCCTGTGTCTTTTACAGGCCTTAGTTGGTTCCTAGCATGGAGGAGGTACTTAGAAAAGGTTTGCTGGATTAAGTTAGTTGAACTAAATTATTAAATTCACATTTCCATATAGTCAGCGTTGGCTCCCTCAGTTTTTAACCCGGTAAAAAGTGTCACTCTAGAAAACAGCTCGAGCAACTATCTTTTGTGACCAAGGAAATATATAATCAGTGTTAAATTGCAGGGATATACCACTCTCAATCTGTTGTGACAAAGTAGAGAAGCTGCTGACTGCGAGCAGCATGTCACCAGGCCACAAATCAGAGGGAGAACAGGGACCGTGCCGGCCTGACCTCAGATGACTCTTCTGCAATCCAGTTCCTGCCTCTGGGCCTCTGTTTCCATTTCTGCCATCACCTTTAGGGTCCTGTCTTTGATGCAAAGATGACCATGGAGTCTTTGTCATTAATCCCTCCTGAAGGGACTTAAAGACTATTTGGGTTAGATCTGGGTCTCGTGTCCCCATAATTTTATCATTCTTTTTCATAGTATAATGTGCTCCTGTGAGTAGGCAGGACAAGGATATTAACCTGACTTGGGAGACTCAGAAAGGCTTAGAGAGTCTTGCCCCAGGGCTGCTGTGTATGAATAGACGTTGAACTTTGAACTGATAAGAAAGCCTTCTCAGTGCTCCAGGAGAAAAAAAAAGGTTAAGGTGTCCTCAAATTGGTGAGGCCATGTGAGAGACCTAGACCTTGAGATTTAATCTTTCTCCCATCTCTGTCTTCCACGACTAAATGCTGAGAAAGATAAAAACCCCCACTGGTCCTATGGGTTCCCGTAAGTGTTGGTTAGGGAGCCCGGAGTCCAGGATAGCACTAGCCTACTTCCAGAGAACGAAGGCGTCTGAGATCTACCGTGCTGTTACCTGTCTACCATGCTGACGTGGTTTCCCCCCATGCTTTGCAGAGAACGGGGCCTTCTTCTGCAATGAATGTGACTGCCGTTTCTCTGAGGAGGCCTCACTCAAGAGGCACACGCTGCAGACGCACAGCGACAAACCGTACAAGTGTGACCGCTGCCAGGCTTCCTTCCGCTACAAAGGCAACCTCGCCAGCCACAAGACCGTCCACACAGGTATGGCCTTGTCCCACAGTGAGTGCTCCAGTTAGGGCTACAGACAAGAGGATAAACCTGGGGACTTTGTTGGCATGAAGCCGAAGGCAGGCCCCATCTAGGCTTTGCCTAGGGCGGTGGTTCTCAACGTATGGGTGGCAACCCCCTTGGGAGTTGAATAGCCCTTTCACGGGGTCGCGTATTAGGTAGCCTGCTTGTCAGATGTTTACACTATGGTTCATAATGACAGCAAAATTACAGTTATGAAGCAGCAATGACAATAAGTTTATAATGGGGGGGTCACCATAAGGTGGCAGTGTTAAAAAGATTGAGAACCACTAAACTAGGGGCTTAACCCTGTCTTGTCCCTGCCACTCCCCTTACCCTTTGTGTGTACTGCTTCCCCGCCTCTGCTGGGGTTGAGAGAGGAGACCAATGCTGGTAGTTGGCAAAGCGGATTGGGTTCGGGTAGAGCCAGCTAACAACAAAAGCCGCTTGCTGCCCCTCAAGGACTTATCAACCAACTTACGGTCTTTTTCCCAGGGCAAGTTTCACAGCCTCATTGTCGTGGGCATTAACTAGCTCTCAGACCTTCCAGTGGCCCCATTATCCCCGAAACTTTCCATAATGGAAGGCTCAACCCTAGATTGGTTTCCTCTGCCCAGCTTCTGCTCAGCCCCACACCCTGCCTGGCCTGCAAATGGAATACAGCTGTAGTTGCCTACCACAAGCGGAAAAGTATGTTCTGCGAGAGAAACTAGAGCAGCCTGATTGTATCTCCCTGGCGAGCGAGTGGATGATTGCATCAGTCTGTCCAAGGGAAGAACCCGAAGCATCTTCCCAGGTCGTCTAAATCAGCCCTTCCCACTCAGGGAGGGAAACTGAGGCCCAGAGAAGGACAGTCTCTTGCTCAAGCCCTTATAGGCTGATGCCCTAGTGGCAACACTCGTTCTGCAGGTCGGGCTTCTCGAAGCCTCCCCCGTGTGTCCTAGGCGTAGCACTGTTCACATCCGACCATGACACTGCTTGTTTCTTGGCCTTGTCCCCTGCTGAGTGTGTTGGTGTATGTGTGTGTGAAGGATGGCGGGTCCCTAGATCAGTGGTTCTCAACCTACAAGTTGGGATCCCTTTGGGGGTTGAATGACCCTGTCACAGGGGTTACCTAAGGCTTTCAGAAAACACAGACATTTACATTACGATTCCTAATAGGAGCAAAATTGCAATTATGAATTAGCAACGAAAATAATTTCATGATCGGGAGTCCCCACACCACGAGAAACTATACTAAAGGGTCACAGCATTCATTAGGAAGGTTGAGAACCACTGCCCTAGATTCTCCCTCTGACCTTGCTATAGAGAAGGGAAGGCCTAAGTCGTCTTGGCTAGTTGCCTTGAAAAAAAGGGGCTGTGTAGATCTTCATTAAATATGATCCCCCCTTTTCCATGTGTCTGGCGACAGGTGAGAAGCCCTACCGCTGTAACATCTGTGGAGCGCAGTTCAATCGGCCAGCCAACCTGAAGACCCACACTCGAATTCACTCTGGGGAAAAGCCCTACAAGTGTGAGACCTGTGGGGCCAGGTTTGTGCAGGTGAGCAAGGCGGCATGGAGAAGGGGCGCTGTGGGGTGGGGTGAGGGCCTGGGCAGAGGCTGGCCGAGCACCCTGGCGGCATCTCTCACGCTGTGCCCCCCCCAGGTGGCCCACCTCCGTGCCCATGTGCTCATCCACACCGGAGAGAAGCCGTACCCCTGTGAAATCTGTGGCACCCGCTTCAGGCACCTTCAGACGCTAAAGAGCCACCTGCGCATCCACACAGGAGAGAAACCTTACCATGTAGGTAAACCCTAGCCATGGCCGCTGGCTGGCCCGAGAGGGAGGGATGCAGAGCAGAAGGGCAGCAGAGGTCCCAGGTCTCAGTGTGTTCATCTTGGAAATGGAGGCATTGGTCTAGGTGATCTGGGTCTTAGGAAAGGCGACGTAATTGGGCTATTCATTCCACAAATATTTTCCGAGTGTCTTCATCATAGCTCTAGACTAGATATGTATTGAAGAGCATCGAAGATGTCAAAGCAGAGTCTAGTCAAAGAGCAACCAGAGAAATATGGCAAAGGGAAACACCAAAACCAGAACCAAAAATAAGCCTAGGAAACATCGTTCCAAGACAGAGCGGGCTGGGACGGGAGGGTGGTTCGGCAGTGAAGAGCACCTGCGCTGTTCAGTTCCCAGCACTTGAATTGGGTGGTTCATAGCAGCCTATGATTCCACTTGAGGGGATTCATCTCTCTCTTCTGGCCTCCCCGGGTCTCTGCACGTATATGGTGCAGATATAGATAATCACACACACATGTACATAAAAATAAATGGAATTCAAAAGAAAGAGCAGGTGCCTTCATGCTTCGTGCCAAGTCAAGGACAGACTGTTGGCATGAGCGTGTCCCAGAGCGGAGCCTCAGCAAACTACAGCCCACTGGTTAAGTTTTAAATGCTGTGTAGATTAAAACTGGGATACTGTGAGTTTTGTGAAATTTAACTTCCGTAGGACCTGAATAATATATAATTGGAACGGAGCCACACTGATTTGCTTCCATAGCTTCTGAGATTGCTTTGGTGCTTTGATGCATTGGTGGCAGCAGGCTTTGAATGAGCATCTCTGAATTTGCTATTTGTCTCTTGGCAAATTGGTTATTTTCACCCTGAGTGCCTTAATTTCCTCATCTGTACATTGATCCAGAAAATAGTGCCTACTTCATGAACCGGCTGTTTTTAGGTAACTAATTCATTCAGTGCTTCCAGTTACTCAAGCTCGTGGCCACGGCATGATCTGCTCCGATTTTAGTCACAGAGACTAGAACTGAGAGTGACATTTGGCATTGATTGCCCCAATCCCTTACCGAAGGGAAAGCTAAGCGCTTGGTAGATGACATGGACAGGATGCCGGGCGATGGTGGCACAGTTGGCGTGGACATCTCCCAGACTCAAGAATCTCCACGAATTTAGGCCATCTAATCCAACTGTGCTGCTGTATTCAGACTGACGTCACAGTTTTCTGAGGGTGTATTCTGCTAGATCATAGGGAGACGCTAAGGTTTGGATGAGAAGTATGCACTCCAAAGTATTAGCCACCTGGTGAGGACGTGAATGCACAAAGATGGTAGCGGGGCACGGCTGTAAATTCAAGATCTAAAAAGAGATGGATGCTTATCTTAGACTCAGAAATGTGTTACTCATTAGGGGAGTTTGCATCGGAATTGTGTCTTGGGTATGATTTGGAATCATGCAGTTAAGTCAGGGAAGGGCATCTCAAGCCTGGGAAACATGAGTGACCTGGAAGGGAAGGCAGGGACATTTGAGCAATGTATACTTAACCTCCAGTGGAAGCCAGGATTCAAATGGGTTCCCTTTTAGAGGGAGGAGCTGCCGCCACCCCACCCTCACAGAGACGGCCAGCTCTGGGTTTTTGAGAAAGGACTCATTTCTTGAAGTCGCTGACAACTAACGTTTAGCTTCTGGTGTCTCCCCAGTGTGAGAAGTGCAACCTACACTTCCGTCACAAAAGCCAACTGCGACTTCACCTGCGCCAGAAGCACGGCGCCATCACCAATACCAAGGTGCAATACCGCGTGTCGGCTGCTGACCTGCCTCCGGAGCTCCCCAAAGCCTGCTGAAGCATGGAGTGTTGACTCTTTTCTCCCTAGCCCTTTCTCAGAACCTCCCCAAAGGATGCTGTAACACTTTACAAAGGTCACCCCATGATGTAGTGCCTCTCTCATCCACTAGTGCAGATCATAGTTGGGGTGGGGGGGTGGGGGTGGGGTTCGCGGGACCGGGAGCCAAGGCGGCTCCCCTTCCCACACTGCCATACGACATTAAGAAAATACTATTGCTTCTTCTCCTATGTGCAAGGCGAACAAACCATGTCAGCAAAAAGCAAACTCATCTTCTATATCAAAGTAGGGGAGAAGGCAAAAGTTCTGACGTGACAGGTTGCAACGCGAGGAATGTAAACGTTCTGTGGGAACAGAAATCTCTTTTGTATGTAAATGTGTATTGTTTTCAAAGACAAGACTTCAGTATGTTGTCAAAGAGAGGGCTTTAATTTTTTTAACCAAAGGTGAAGGAATATATGGCAGAGTTGTAAATATATAAATATATATATAATATAAATATATAAACCTAAAAAGATATATTGAAAATATAGAACTGCGTTAAAGGCTCGATTTTGTATCTGCAGGCAGACACGGATCTGAGAATCTATTGAGAAAGAGCACTTCAGAGAATATTTTAAGTATTGCGTCTGTATAAGTAAGAAAATATTTTGTCTAAAATGCCTCAGTGTCTTTGTATTTTTTTGCAAGTGAAGGTTTACAATTTACAAAGTGTGTATTAAAAACAAAAAAGAACAAAAAAAGCTGCAGAAGGAGAAATGTATACTTTTGTTCTAGTTTTCAGTTTGTATATACCTGTAACGTGTCCTCACGGTGCCTTTTTTCACGGAAGTTTTCAACGATGGGCGAGCGTGCGCCGTCCCTTTTTGAAGTGTAGGCAGACACAGGGACTTGAAGTTGTCACTAACTAAACTCTCTTTGGGAATGTCTGACTCCTCCCACATTCTGCGTCATGCTTGTCGTTATAATTACTCCGGAGACAGGGTTTGGCTGTGTCTAAACTGCATTATTGCGTTGTAAAATATAGCTGTACAAATATAAGAATAAAACGTTGAAAAGTCAAGTGAGATGTCTCTGAAGCTCTGTCTTTGCACGGAGATCCAAGCGGGTCCGGCCTCCGAGCATTCGGGTTCCAGTGGGAACCGTTCTAGGAAGGGAGGGGCCGCTGGTCCGTGAGATGTTGAAGTGGGCCATTGCTTGAGGGTAGACTGGGGTTTGTCCTGTTTCTGCCTATTTTTGTCCTGAGCACAGGACCAGCGGCAGACCCCAACCTGAAGGTCAGGTGGAGGATTTGAATCCCCTAGCTCTGGGCTGCGCTCTGCGGCTTGCCCTGGCGCTTTAGACACAAACGTTTCATGATCCCCCCTCACCCCACTGCTCTGAGCCTCAGTGGTTATTCTTTTCTAAAATGAGAGGGCCCATCTTGGCCCTGGCTTCGTAAACAAGTCTCCTTCACTTGGCTATACAGGGCAGGTCAAAGGCTTAAGTCATACACTTCTCAGCCTCAGTGCATTTGAGGTCTCCTGGGTGACCAACAGACATTTATAGACTTCAGCGCTTTCTGATTGGCCAGAGGCCAAGCAAGCCTCTGCCCCTGGGCTGGAGCACAGCCACCTCTCCTGTGTGTGTTGGGTCACCATTTTCACCATGGCTCTGTCTCCCAGCTTATCCGAGAGGCGACTGGGTTAACAAGACCTGTTATGAATCCGTGATTCAGATGTCAGTTCACACTGGCCTGCTTTGGCATCCATTTTTATTTTACCTCAGAAAACCCCGAGGACCAAGTTTGATTGGCAGGATCTGGGAACTGGGAAGACAAGTGTGGTTCTGGTAATGGGCCCAGAAGAGAAAGTCGGCATCCCCTTCCTGTTCCTGGGTGGCAGTGGAGAGGGGACATGTGCCCACTGATCAGCTCTTGGCAGTGACTTTGCAGCAGGCTCTGAGCGCGTGTTGGAAGCTGGAGGAGCTGACCACCCAAAGCCCCAGAGAGAGCTTCAGAAAGTCACGCCACCCTCTGCCAACCGCACGGCCTTGCAGCTCAGGTTTCCTTTGAAAATGACTTTAAAGGACTTGCCAGCTCAAGGCCTCGACTCACCCTGTTCTTTGGAAAGGGAGAAAATGATCCCTCAGCTCCCATAGAAACCTGGCAGAAGAACTTAGGGAATAGACAGCTTCAGGAATGACAATTCACAGGCCTGAGGGAGGCTGGCCCCAGGCTCCTTTCGCTCCTGAGAGTCTGTTTTTGTATCATTACTATTTATGAGGGAGACTGAGGAGCAGACAGGGAGGGCGGTGTTCCGACAAAAGGGAGATCAAAGACGGAGCTGCTACAGCCAGCTGACGATTAATAATAAGTAAAAAGAAAACATCTCTAAACAGAGTTATTAAGAATACAGCCCAGAGCAAAGGGGAGAGAGAATTTTATTACAAACGCATGGGGCGAATCCATTTTCATATTAAAAAAAAAAAGTTCTCAAAAACCAGGCTATAATTGATATTCTTCATATCATGGAAGGGTTTAGGGGCAAAGGTTTGTTAACACCTCAAGTTGAGGTGTGTATTGAGGTAGGTGTATTAGCTTTGGTTGTAGTTTTCTTTCCATTGCTGTAATAAAACACTGACCAAAAGCAATTTGGGGAGGAAAGGGTTTATTGGGCTTACACACCCTGATCCCAGTCTGCCATGAAGGAAGCCAGATCTGGAACTCAAGGCAGGAACCTAGAAGCAAAACAAGAGGCAGAAAACATGGAGGAACACCGCTTATTGGCTTATTCTCCGTGGCTTGCTCAGTTTTCTGTCCGATGCCACCCTAGCCCATCTGCCCAGGACACTCGCACAGCAACACCAACAGGTGAATGTCCCCAGAAACTTGTCCGCAGGCCAGTCTGAGGGCAGCTTGTCTCAGTTGAGGTTCCTACTTCCAGATGACCCTGGCAAGAGTGGAGTGGACAACTGGGCAACCCAGACTTCTTTCCGTTGTGGCAGAATGCTCAACATGGCAAGAAAGTGTTGACATCTTTAAGTTCACAGCTCAGATGTTTCTGTCCATAGCCCTTGCTTCTTCTAACTCTGGGCCTGTGGTGAGACAGGGTATCATTGTGGATAGGAAGAAAGAGAGAGAAGGACATAACACAGTTCCAAGGGCATGCTCTGGAGTGACCTATTTTCTCCAGCTAGGCCTCAACTTCTAAAGTTTCCAGAACCTTCTAAAATAGTGCGGCCAGCTGAGGATAAGCCTTTAAAACTATAGCTTTTGGTGGGGCTGGGGGCTTGACTGTACATCCAAGTCACAACAGTAGACCTATGGACATGACTGAGTAGACACAAGCACAGCTGTTCAGGAGTCGGAAGACTTGTAGTAGAGACAACCCTCTAATTCAAGCGTCTCCTGTGACCCACTAGGGGACTGTGGGAAACAGGTCGGCTGCCATCTAGTGTCTGGACAAGTACGGAGACCAGACTCCTCCTTACCCCAGCCCTTGGAAAGAACAGGTGCTCGTTCTGATTTAGTAATGACAACATGGCAGGTCCGAGGTCTCGCGGCTAAGTGTCCAGCTTGCCTGAGTTCCCACACCCAGCTATTTGTAGAACTTCAAGTTCCGTCCATGGTTAGGACTCAGGCGTCTCGTTTTCATTTCTTTGTATCCCTCGCAGCAGTAATTATTAAGAAACCGTCTCATGTTCTCCCAGAGGCACGCTCAGGAAAACAAGTGGGGAAGAAAACCAGGAAAGAGCAGACCCCCTGGGCACTCGTCAGGCCATGTCAATGGCAGAGCCCCAAAGCGAGGCTCTCAAAGCAAGCTGATCTTCCAATACGGAGTTCTCTGGAGCTTGCTCTTATTTGGAGTTTTTTGGACTTATGTTTCTATGAGACTGGCTATTTCTTTTAGTATTATTATTATTATTTTATTACTTAAAAAAAAACAATCCAAATTCCCACTTTTTCCCCCTCCTCCCACTTCCCTCCCACTCCCTCCACACACCCTAACCCCACCCCATCCAATCTTAAGAGGAGGCAAGGCACCCTGCCCTGTGGGAAGTCCAAGTCCCTCACCACTACATCCAGGTTGAGCAAGGAATACATCCAACGAGAATGGGATCCCAAAATGTCAGTACATGCAGCAGAGACAAATCCCAGTGCCATTGTCATTGGCCCCTCAGTCTGCCACAACTGTCAACCACATTCAGAGGGACTAGCTTGATCCCATGCTCATTCACTCCCAGTCCAGTTGGAGTTGGTGAGCTACCATTAGCTCAGGCAAACTGTCTCAGTGGGTGAACCCCTCATGGTCTTGACCTCCTTGCTCATATTCTCCCTCCTTCCGCTCTTCACCTGGACCTTGGGAGCTCAGTCCAGTGCTCTGATGTGGGTCTCTGTTTCCATCTATTGTTAGATGAACGTTCTATGGTGATATTTAAGATAATCATCAGTCTGACTACAGGGCAAGGCCAGTTCAGCCACCCTCTCCTCTATTGCTTAGGGTCTTAACTGGGGTCATTCTTGTGGATTCCTGGGAATTTTTCTAGAGCCAGGCTTCTTGTTAACCCCAAAATGGCTCCCTCAATCAAGATATCTCTTTCCTTGCTCTCATATCTGTCCTTCCTCCATCTCAACTATCCCATTCCCTCAAGCTCTTCCCAACCTTCCCCTTCCTTCCTCCCTCCTCTTCCCCCTCTTCCCTTCCTTTTGCCCCCTCCCCCACGCTCCTAAATTTTGTCAGAGTCTGGCTATTTCTCACAACTGTTTATAATAGGGTACCTGTGTCCAGAACCTTCTTTTTACATGATCTAGTCTGTGCGGGTTCCTATCTCCTGGAACCAGAGCACAGTTTATGCTGGCAGCAAGACTTCATAGATATTTTATATTTCATGTTTGATATATCTTTGGGTTTTAAGCTGTTTATTTACCAGGTTCTTATTGACATAACTACTTTAAAATATATCAAAAGGGTCATTTACTAGTTTCTGAAGTAGCAAAGGAGAAATTATCTACAGTCAAACTACTAATTGAGATTACTGAAAACTGTTAAGTAGTAACACTGCTCCCCCTTTTGGCTAAAGGCGAGTGTGAGATTGTTAAGTAATGCTTCCTCAAATGTGGCAAGGAAAAATACATTCATTCGT